TTCCTTCCTTTCCAAGAGCACTGGTAATAATTATTTGAGGATTATTCCCTAAACTAGAAGTGGGGAGTGGCAGGAGAGGGGGCAGGCTGCTGCTGGTCAGGTGTCAGGGTCCTGCTGGATGACCAGCATGAGGGGAGAACTTCCTCGTCCTCTCTTGGGGCCAGCTCTCAGCCCTTTCCAGCTCTGGCATTTTGTGAGGTTCTGTGAGTTCTGAACTGCAGTGAAAGGGATGGAGCTTGGTTGTTTTCAGTTGGATGTGATGGGCCTCCTGCAAAGTCCCCATTCCTCCACCTCACTGGGGTACGGAAGAGACCAAAGGTTCTCCAAGGCTTTGCCAGGGAAGCGAGACTGGCAAGGCCAAGCAAGGGCCATGAAGCTAGCCCCCTCGGGGCTAGCTGGGTTTTCCAGACACTGTCCATCAATTTCTGATTCTCTTTTCAGAGGTCAGATCCCACCTTTGATACTTACCTACTTGTGTGACCTTAGCTAAGTCCATTTCCTCATCTACAAAATGAGGGGAGTAGGCTAGATGGCCCCTGAGGTCCCAGGCAGCCCTGGGCCTATGATCCTGAGATCTTGGCTTCAAATACAGTTTCTCTTAGGTATAAAGGGTTCTCAGTCCCACTAAAAACTCTTCCCTTCCCCATTCTGACTCCTTGGTAAACCAGGTCAACTCTACATTGTCCTCTTCTCTCAAATTCTTTGTCCTAGAGGAGATCTTGCCCTTCTAAATCCCTCCCGCCATCCACTGCCTTTGTTCCTACTCAGGTGCTGCTGAACAAAGGTGGAGAAAATCCCTCAACAGCGTTGACTGAGTCCATTACAAGTATATGTTACATAATCTCAACTGGGCTCTCCACACAGCACAGCAATCCTTCCTTCTGCACCTCCGTAATTAACTCATTATCCCACTCTGGCAGCCCATCTCGTCCACCTTTTCTCCTCCTCTTGCCTCCCATGGCTCCCCCTTTCCTGACTGTCTCAGTTGATAACCTTGCCTCATATTGCACAAGGCCGTTTGGCAGAGATCTCCCTCTTCTCCCCTTCTCATCATTCGAATGCCTTCTGCCATTTTTTCCTCCTCCTTGCGATGCATACCCAAGGGATGCTATTCCGTACCAATGTCCCCTCTGTCACTCCTACTCACTAATATCCAATCCCAACCTTCCACTGGCTGCTTCTCCACTGCCTACAAATAGGCTCACAGCTCTCCCATCTTCAAAAACTCTTCACTTGATCTGTCCACTCCTTCTAATTTTCATCCTCTCTCCTCCCTTTTGTGGCTAAAATCCTTAAGGGCCATCTCCACTAAGCACCTCCATTTCCATTCCTCTCACTCTCTTAACTCTGCAGTCTGGCTTCTGACCTCTTTATTCAACTGAAACTGCTCTCTCTCAAGTTACCTAGGATCTCTTAATTGCTCATTCTACTGGCCTCTCCTTAATCCTCATCTTTCTTGATCTTTCTGCAGCCTTCGATAGTCAATCAGCCTCTTCTCCTTCATACCCTCCTCACTCTAGGTTTTCTTGAGACTGTTTTCTCTGGGCTCTGCTCCTACCTGACCTCTCCTCGGTCTCCTTTGGTAGATATCCATCCATATCACCCCACTAATAGTGGGGGCCCCTTACAGCTCTGGCCAGGGTCTTCTCTTCTCCGTCTATACCAATGGTGTCAAATTCCAATAGAAACCTGCAGGCCACATATTAACTTAGAAAACCATACATTAACATTATGTTGTGTTAGATTTTTATTTTGCTAAACACTTCCCAATTACATTTTAATCTGGTTCAGCTGCACTTGGGAGTTTTGCTTGTGGCCTGGTGGCAGTCTAACACCTCTGCTCTATTTCACTGGGTGATCTCATCAGCTCCCATGGGTTTCAATTATCATTATGCAAATGACTCTCAATTCTCAGATCTGGCCATCCTAAACCCTCTCCTAAGCACTTCTCGCATCTCCAACCACCTTTCAGACAATCTGAACTGGAAGTCTCGTAAACACCTTAAACTCAACACGTCCAAAACTACTCAACCTCTCTCCCTCCTCACCTCCCACAACACCTTCCCTACTATATACCACCATTCTGTCACCCAAGCATCATTCTCAACTACTTACTCTCACACACACCGCCCCTCCATCCTATCATTTCTACCTTTAAACATCTCCCTTATATGCCTCCTTCTCTCTGGCACAGCCACCTCTTTGGTGCAGGCCCTAGGGCATCACCTCACCCCTGGATTATCGCAATAGCCTGCTGGTTAATCTCCCTACATCATCTCTCCCCACTCCAGTTCATTGTTCACTGGGCTGTCAAACTGATCTTCCTAAAATGCAGATCTGACCATACCACCCACCCTGTCCACATTCAATAAACCTCAGTGGCTCCTTATTGCCCCCGGGATCAAAGATTTCCTTTGGCATACAAAGCTCTTCATAACCTGGCTCCTTTCTGTCTTTCCAGTCTTCTTACATTTTGCTGCTCTCCGTGTACTCTTCTTTCCAATGACACTGGCCTCCATTTCCAGCCTCCAGGTGTTTTCCCTGGCTGAGCCACATGCCTGGAATATCCTCCCTCACCTTCACCTCTGGGCTACCCTGGCTTTCTACAAGTCTCAACTCACATCCTCTTTCCCAGGCCTCCTTAATCTTAGTGCATTCCTCATGTTATTATACACTGATGCTACATAGGTTATTTATATATAGTTTTTTGTATGTTGTGTCTCCCCTCCCATTAGACTGTGAGATCCCCACAGCAGGAATTTTTGTCTTTCTTTCTATCCCCAGTGCTTAGCACAGTGCCTGGCACACAGTTGGCACTTAAAGGCCAGTGACTGGTTATCATTCCACTTTAGGGAAAAAAAATCCATGGAATCTTGGACTGGAAGGAATCACTGCAATCCACACCCAGTTTTCCAGATTAAGAAACTGAAGCCCAGTCCCCAAGGTCACACTATTCTAAGTGGTTTCAGAGCTGGGAGCCCAATCCAGGAGCTCCGCCTCCAAACGTAGGCTCCTTCTGCAACTCAGGGTCTGTGGTCCAGAACGGCCACCTCCCAGCCAGCCTCCTGATAGGGAATGGATCTGGAGGAGAGGTGCCTTGGCTCCCAGGACCACCCCCCCCCCAGGCTCCTTCTGCAGCTCGGGGTCTGTGGTCCAGAACGGCCACCTCCCAGCCAGCCTCCTGATAGGGAACGGATCTGGAGGAGAGGTGCCTTGGCCTCCCAGGACCCCCACCCCCAGGCTCCTTCTGCAGCTCAGAGTCTGTGGTCCAGAACGGCCATCTCCCAGCCAGCCTCCTGACAAGGGAATGGATCTGGAGGAGAGGTGCCTTGGCTCCCAGGACCCCCACCCCCCATTCCCTGCCCCAGGCTGCGATGGAGGCCAGCTGCTGCATCCCAGGCATTTCCCATAGACTGCTGCAACAGCATACAGGAATATTCATGACCCTCACTCTCCAAACTTAAGGTAAACCTTCATTTGGGCACAGGAACACCCCGGCACCTTCAAGGCCTCTGCCAGGATCGTTGTAAAACCTGAAAGCTTACTTTGCTCCAGTTTGTCCACGAATTCCTAAGGTCCCTGGGGAGGTAGAGGGTCCAGTGACTCCATTGTCATTGGCCAACCCCGTCCTGATCCCCTCCCATGTTCTTTTCTGACTGTATACAGGGCTTCCTTAGCAGAGGAGCACACCATTCCAGGCACAGCCAAATGGGGCTGGACCAGGATTCCTGAAAAGGCCCCATGGTCAGTCCCCCTTCTACCATGGGAGCCATAACGCCCACCAAGATCAGCCCCCAGGGCTGGCTGGACCAGGAATCCTAGTCCTGCCCCTGCCCCTAATCCATGGCTACTTTGCACAAATCACTTCCCTTTTCTTGACCACAGCTTCCTCACCTGTAAAATGGCTGGGCTGGCCTAGATCATTTCTAAAGGCCCTTCTAAATCAGACAGTCCAAGACTCTCTGAGTCTTTGTGCAGGCCTCCCCCTCTCCTTTTCTGCATCCCTTCAGATGGCCCTTCTGGTCCCTTTCTATCACCTCCCCAACCGCCTAGGAACCCACTGCCTCTCAAACCATTGGACCATGGATAACTCAGGGACCTGAGGTCACCCTCTCCAGGGGAAAAGGCAGGGATGGAGAAAGGAACAGCATCCTAACAGAGGAGGGTGATGTTAAACTTGAAGGAATGAAGCTCAAATGGTAAAATGTTACTTCAACAGCCAGTGGGGTTTCTCTACCTTCCTAAAAACATCACGTAACATGGGTCACTCATTTCTCCTGGACATAAGGTGCACCTGGCCTCATTGGCCAGTAATTACTAAGGGGGAAGGGTGATAGTCCTGAATAAGTTCTCACCTTCCTTTATCCAGGTGAAAGTAAACTGAGTCATCTTCAGAGGAGAAAGGGCTGGAGTGTGAACAAGGGAAGACAACCCCCAGCCCCTTCAATCTAATGGTTTATGGAAATCAATGGGCCCAGGCCCGCTGTCCCCTCCCTCTGAACTCCCTCCCTGTCACCCTGAGTCACTGCCAAGCTCCGTGCCTGCTTCCAGGTCCCTGGAGCCCAGATCATGAAAGGCAGGCTCCAAGCCAGGGAAGTGTCTCTTCATGATCCACCAGAGACACCGAGCTCACACCCAGGAGCAGCTGGCAGTACCCCATCCCAAACCAAGCCTGTCCTCCTCCTGTCCGAGAGGTGGCATGCTGATGGAGCCCTGGACACGGAGTCAGGGAGACGCGAGCTGAAGTCCTGCCTCGGACACGCAGAAGCTGCCACGTCCCGTAACCTCAGAGCTTCAGTTTCTTATTCTGTAAGGTTGTTGTGGGGATCTGATCGTCTCTGTAAAGCCCTCTGCAGCCCTTAAAGCCCTCTATAAATGCCAGCTATCCTTCCAGAAGAGGCCACAGAGCTGGGTTTTCCCATTCAGCCCCAACCAGCACCCAAGGCTGGGCCAGCCACTATGATTCCTGACCAAAGAGTTATTGCTGACAAAACGTCACGTCATTCAAAGCCTGTTTTCCCCCTTATTCTTAATTCTTCTTTTAAAAACAAAGAAAGAACAGTAAAATATGCACAACATAGCGGCTCTATACAAGAGATCCTTCTGCCTGAACGCTGTGGCAGACAGTAGGGGAAGGAGGCTGGGGGGATTAGGCCCATGGTGGCTGGGTACTTTCTTAGGGAGCAGATGGTCCCCCAGGTTGAGAGGCTGAGCTGCCACCTCTAGGCAGTGGGGAGGAGAGACCGAGCAGGATCTCAGGTTTCTTAACCAGAGATGGGGGTTGGGGGTGGGGGGAGAGGTAGGAAAGATGCCTCTTGAACTGGCCCTTCAGAGGAGCAGAGCCAGCCCTAAGAGGTCAGCAAAGATTTGGAAATAACCATTCAAGCTAGAAGGGAAAGCCCTGAGCCTGACCCCAACCTGGTACATGCCCTCCTCACTCTGACCTCAACACAATGCCCAGGCAGGATGAGAGCCCTGGCTTTAACCAAGTCGGGTTCTAAACCCTCAGGCCCAAAAAGCTCTTCCTCTAACGAGCACCTCTTCCATCACCAAGGCCCGAGCATCCCCATCAACACCGTGGGTCCCTTAGAGCAGGGAAAAGGGGAGGTCCAAACCTGGGCTGATCTCCAGAAGGGCCCTGGAAGGCCAGGGCGTATGCCCAAAGAAGTTCTCTGTCAGAAACACACCCGTACACACACCAACTCCCACTAGCTCTTCTGGGTCAGGAGCTGGCTAGATTCTTCTCTCAATGGAAGAGACGTCAAGAAATCCCTCAAGACACAGCCCCCTCTATTTCTACTCCCCACAAAGCAGCCACCTGTAGTCCCCACCCAAGGCCTATTCTGTGTAGTCCTCAGGTCTGAAAGGGCAAGGCTTTCTGGGAGGTCTTAGCCACCCAATCTCCCTGTGTTTAGCAGCATGGGGAGACCTGCCCCAAATAGGTTGCCTCAAGTCCAGCCAGCTCTGGCTTTTATATACAACAGGCCCCCTCCTCTGCTCGTCCTCAGAAGACTCAAGCCTCCAGGGGCAATGGGCTTCCTTCCCACTTGCCCTCCACTTACACTTGGCTTTTTTCTCCTCTTCACTTTGGCCAGCTCTCTCCTAGACTTCTGCCAGGCCTCTGCCCTCTACTCCATGATCCCTATACCCTTCACCTGGCTTTTGCCCTCTCCCAATCTCCTACCCCCTTTCTGTCATGGTTCTTTTCCTACTCGGCTTCATCTCCTCTCCTACAAGCAAAGGCTTCCCACACACTCCCACGCCATCTGATTGGCACGGAGACACCAGGCCCGCTGCAGACATCCTGTATCGGCTGGCATTCTCCCTGACTTCTGGTCATCCATCCGCCTTGCCTCCCCTTCCCTCCCAGGGGATCCTGGGAAGTGGTTATGCCCGCCCACAGCTAGTATGGCCAAGACAGGGAGAAGGTAATCAGATTTGGGGCTCAATGCCTGCAAGTGGGGTTAGGGCTAGTCGTGGCGAGGAAGGAGCTAGGGAGTTTGGAGGTGAAGCCCCCACTCCTGCTGGACCTCAAAGCCTTTCTGGGGCAAGGGGAGGTGGAGGCCCAGGGAGAGAGGGCTCAGGCGTTGATGGCCTTCCAGCGCTCACTGTCAGTGCTGTTGATGCTGCCCACGGGGCAGGGCATGGAGGCCACATCGTCCAAATAGGCGGCCGTATCGATCTGAGTGTTGGAGTAACAGCCCACGGGCACATCCAGTCCCTCCCGGCGGGCCACGGCATAGGGGTGGGGCAGGTGCACATCGGGCTCCTCAGCCTCATCCACTTGGCATTTGTATGAGAACAGGATTTTGGGCTCCGCCCTGAAGGAGGAAGACATAACACCGCTGTTGGTGGGAGACAGGGAATGGCACCACCCTCGGGCAGGCCTCCTCTCACTCCCTCAGAATGTGCCAACACCAGTGCCTTCCTTCATTTAATCCCCAAAATGAATGGGAAGGGGTATAAGACATTCTCACAAAGGGCAAGGAGTGTTCCACATGGGATAGGAAGGATGTGGAATGGAGAGACTTATTGTGGGAGGGGAAAGGCCATCCCTGCCCAGCTAGAGGAAAGGCCAGCCTGGAGGGAGAGAGGGCAGTGTCCATACTGGACTGACAGAGACACTGAACAATGCAGAGATCCCATGTCCAAAACCAAGGACTGACCTTCATCAAATCCCCTACGTTTTGTACCCCCCCACCACAGCATGAGACCCCCATCCAAATGGCCATCATCAGGGCCCCCTATACCACCCTCCAAAGACAGACCCCCCCACACACACATACACTTCCCTACACCAGTCTTTCCCAATTACTCAAGATGAAGAAGCTGCTTTTCCCACATGTGGCCACAGGGTGGCAGCCACACCCCTAGATAAAGACCCTCCCTTTCCGCTGCAGGGCTTGGGGAGCTTCTCTGTAAACATCCCCCACCCTCGACCTGTGGGGTTCCTGCGGGGCTGGATCACTTACCCAAAGAAGCCCTTGAGGAAGGCCACATAGATGAGGGGGGCAAAGAAGCTGAAGTAGAGGAAGGTGGTCACATCCACACAGCTGGGAGATGGGAGAGGCGGGGGTGGGGTCAGGCGTGAGGCTCATGACCTCAGCTGTCCCCCACCCCCCTTGGACATTCCAAAGAGCTGTCCCCATTCCACCCTTGTCCCCAGCCCCCTCCCTCTGTCCTTCCCTCCCTGCCTCCTACCTACCAGAGGCCCTCGATAATGTCCACACAGAGCAGGGCACTGCCCAGGCCCTGCACCAGGTTCAGCAGGGCCAGAATCGCAGCGTAAATATAGAAGCTCCTCCGGGCTGCAGGGAGTGAGAGCAGAGAGAGTAAAAGCCTGCCCTGCCCTGCCCCACCCGTCCACCAAGGCTGGAGGGAGAGCGTTAACCCCACTCCAGGGGTCCTGGTTTGTGCGGGAAGAGTGGAGCCGAGGCCTTCATGGGAGGGCCGGGTTCTCCACTGAACTCCTCTGGTGACCCTGGGCAAATGAACTGACCCCCTCTGGGCCCTGGCTAGGGACAAACCAGATGTGACCCTACACACCTGGTGGGGTGCTTAGCTTCCCTCCTGGGTTCTCCCGAGTCTGTGCGTTGCATCCTCCTGCTCCCGGGAGGTGAGGTAATGCCGGCCTCCGGCACCCTGGTAATTCTGACTGCCCGTGCCCAACCTCGTTAAGGCCCTAACCTCAACGACCCCCCATTTCCCTTCCTTCACACGACAGTCCCCCCACCCCCGCCTGCTCACATGGCAGCGAGATCCGGTCTTTCAGAGGCATCTTTGGGAGGATAACCACCAGGGCGTAGACCTAGGGACACAAAGCAAGTGGGGATTGGGTGGTCTAAAGTGTGGGAAGTTCTGCAGCCATCACCCAAGCTTCCAGTCCGAAGAGATCTGGGTTCAAGTCCCAGCTCCAACACTAACTAGCCATGTGACCCTGGGTCAGTCACTTGACTTCTGTGAGCCTCAGTTTCCCTCACCCAGAAAATGGCGATAATAATTTTTGCATTAAACCTCAAGATGTCTGTGAGCAGAGGGAAAAAGCAAGTGGCAGATGGGAAAGGAGCCTCCCTCAGCCCTTACAGAGCGCCCACCCCACCCTCATCTCTGCCACCCTTACCAGGAAGAAGAAACAGGAGCTGGCGAGCCAGAAGTGGCGGCCACCATGCCCATAGATATTGAAGTCATCGGCGGAGAGGTGGGAATCCGGGTACAGGATCTCCAAGGTCCCCTGGGGGGCAAGAGCAGAGGAGGCTCACTTCCTGCCCAGACCTTGCAGTGCAAAGGCCTCCTCCCTCATCTGCCTCTCCTGACTTCCTGCCAAACTCATGCGGCTGAAGCACAGCAGGGGTCAGGTCACACGTAGGGTCACGGACTCCTGAGCTGGCCGGGGGTGGGGGTGGTGGGGAAGAGAAAGGGAGGCCCTTCTCAGACGGGCGGCTGCAAGCCAAGCCAGCCCAAGCACACAACAACTCCAGTGTCTATGGTGCTGCAAGGCTGACAAAGCTCTTTACATCTCACTGGACACGAGGCCTGGCTGAAGGAACTGGGGAGGTCAGCCGAAAAGGCACCTCCCATGAAAGAGAGAGCAGACTCACTCTTAGACTGGCCGTGTGTGTTTACGTGTCAGTGTGTGTGCCTGTGTGTCTGTAACATGTATGTACAAGTGCGTACGTGTGCAGATGCATGTGTGCCCGTGTGTCTTGGCTCCCAAGCAGAGTGGGTCCCCAGCCACACCGCAGCCAAGCATTCAGCCCTGCCAGGCACAGGCTAGGCCCCACTCAGGAGGCAGGCGCTGCCTTCCACGAAGGCAAACAGTCTCCCGTCCGACCCTTCTTTGGGGCTGCCGAGGCTGCCTGTGATGTTCTAAAGGAGAGTTTGGGGAAAGACGTTGGATGTTATAAACTAGCTTCACTGCCCACTAATCCTCTTTCCCTGACCGGGATAGTTGGTCCTAGATTTACTGGGGACGTGCTTTTCCACCTCTCCCCATCAGAGACGTTTCATTGCGCTGGACACAGGAATCAGGAGCCCTCAGCTTGGGTCTCTGCCATACATTTATTTATTCCATTTAACCTCAATAAGTCCTTCCCTTCCTCTGGGACTCAGTTTCTCCTTCTGTAAAAGGAGGGTGCTGGACCACTTGATTGTTGAGGTCTCACATCCTGGGGAGAGGGGCGGTTATTAATGGCTCTCAGCTCTGCCTTTCTTTTTGAAATAAGGGGACAAATGGGATAACACGGGAAAAAAAGAAGCCTAAGATACAGAAAGTCTGTCAGACACCACAATCCATCCTAAAAGCCTAGACTAATATTTTTGTCCTTTGTGGCTACAAACACTTAATGTGAACAGTTTGAGGTGTTTTGTTTTTTACATCTGAAAGAAATTCCACTACTTTTGGTACCACTGTACAGATACGTGAGACAACATGCATATTTCACATCAAACGTGGGTTTCCATTTAAACTGTAAAACTCTGTAAGTCTCTAAATATAGGAATTAATAATTGTGTAAGTTTTAGAAACTGCAGCCCAGTGGGCAACCCTGCCATAAAGGCAGTAAATACCTCTAGTTCCAGTCAAACTAACCTGCAAGCTGCTCCATATATACATACACATACATACATACACACATATATATATGAAACATTCCTTCTCCCACCACCACGCCTTTGTCCAAATGGTCCCCTCCTCTCCACTGTATCAGATCGTCCTTAGCTTTCTTCAGAGCCCAGTTCAGGCTCTCCTTCCTACAGGATGCCTTTCCTGATACCCTTAGATGGTATTCTTCATCTCTCAAAATTACTTTGTATATATTCTGTATTTATTTACCACATTTGCCCTATTTACTTGTATTCTCCTTGATACCCAGTAGAATATATCCTACTCAAAGGCAGGACCTATTTCATTTTGGTCCTTGGCCTCAGGTTGCCTTGTGTTTAATAAATGCTTATTGCATTGAACAATGTCATTCTTTTCATCTCTGCCCTCCCCACACAGGGGCCCACTCTCCCCTTTACCTGAGTGGCTGAGTAGGCCAGGGACAGAACTGTGGTGATGGCCAAGACTCGTTTGATGCTGGATTTACTCTCCAGGTGACCTGGAAGACGACCCAAGTGGCCAGTGAGGGCCACCTCTAGAGAGCCGAGCCCACATGGGGCGGGAAGACCCCCTTGTGAGCCTCCAGCCCCCTCCCCCAGAAAACTGCTCTCCCTCCCCTCCCTTATAGCCCAGTGTCCTCAGTTTAGTCCATACCAAAGGCCAGGCCCAGAATGATCACACTCAATTCAATATCCAGAAGGAAAAAGCGAGTGATTTCCCACAGTATCTGAAAAACACAGAAAGTCAAGGGAAATAAACAGGCCCCAGGGTACTTAATCCTCTACCACTCTGTGCTCTCTTGTCCCAATGCCAGACACATCCAAATTTCCCTCCCCTCCCCTCCCCCAGCTGGCTTCTCTTCCCCCACCTACTAGTCCCAACTCCCTTCACCATACACACACACACACACACACACACACACACACACACACACACACACTCTCTCTCTCTCTCTCTTCCCCCCCAACCCCCATCTCTGTCTCCCCAGCCTTAACAGCTCCACTCCTCCAGACCAGTGACGAGGCCCAAACAGGTGGGTTCTTCTTCCATGCCCAGACTTACCTTATCGGCCACCGTGGCTGCATCTGAAGTGCTGACTGTCATGGAGACCACAGCCCGGGCTATACCCACCAGGGCCACCACAAACACCTGTTGGGAAGGCCATCATGATTAGGGCTTAGGGGCACTCCTCCTAGGCTTCATCTGACTAAAGCCTCCAGGAGCCACCCTGGCTATCTGCAGAGGATGAAGCGTGTGGCCAAGCAGCAGTGGGCAGCTCAGAACTGTACCAGACCGGTCACTTTCTCTCTCCCTCCCCTACCCATCCCTACCCCGTACCCCACTACTGCTCAGCCTAGGTACAGAGGGAGATAAAACCAGCACTGCCAAGTGAGCAGGCTGGACAGACAGGCTGGACAGACGGGTACACAGGAAACATGATAACCACTCTAGGCAAACAAGTACATCCAAGAGGACGCCCGTCTGAAAGTTGCTGGGCTGAATGGCGCTGCGGGGGACAAGTCCAGAAAGGCATCATGGCAGGGTGATTTCTAAGGAGCTATTCAAAGGTAGGTCATGATTCAGTAGAGAGAAAAGCCCTAACAAAGCACAAGCACAGTCCCATCAAGGAGCAAAGTCCCACCACCAAATCTGCCACAAGAAAGGAAAAGGCAGGCAATGTGGTACACTGGAAACCGTGTTAGCTGTATTTGGAGTCAGAAGGCCTGTGTTCAAATCCCGACTCCGCCGCCTGTGTAACTTGTGGAAAGTCACTTTACCTCTCTGGGACTCAGTTTCCCCATATGTAAAATGAGAGTGATGAACTAGATGGCCTCTACAGTCCCTTCTAGCTCTCACCTTAGGACCCTATGGACCAAAGATGGAAGAACCCAGCAGACAGCCCAGGGGCTAGGACTCCTCTGTTGTGTCTGGTGACACGGCCACTAGCAGCTCACACTTACTAATGCAGGTAACTGTGTAAAATGCTCTCACGTGCACTCATCTGACACAAGTCAAGTCAAGGCCAGGGAGTAGTAGAAAACAAGCTGTGCTAGGAATCCCAAGGAGATCCAGGGTCTGGAGGTCTAGGAGTCACTCTGTGCCCTGCTGAGTGCTGGGGGGCAGGGGAGCACGGACACAAAGCAAAAGATTTCCTCTCTGTCCTACCACAGGCGCACGCACACACACACACACACACAACCATATTGTAAGACAGTGCGGTAAAGTAGAAAGAGCACTGATCTGGGCATCAGGGATCTTGGACTCCAGTCCCAACCAATCCTGTCTAATCCTATCTCTGCCACTCGCTTACTACGTGACCTTGGGTAAATCATTTCCTGTCTCCAGATGTGTTTCCTCATCGGCAAAATGAGGAAATAACCCCTGTCCTTTTTACCTCATGGGCTTGCTGTGAAGTTCAAGATAATTCAAGATAATTTATTAAGTGCCTACAATGTGCTACGCTGGAGACAGGAAGATGAAAAGTTACATAGTCCTGACTCTGAAGAAGCTTATGGGGAAGTATGACATTCATTATGAATACAAGGAGCAAGTCATGTTACCTCTCTGAACCTTGGTTTTCTTGGCTGGAAAATGGGAATACTACTACTTGCCCCACCATGCTCAGGCTGTTGTGAGGAAGGCACTTTGGAAACCTTAACGTACTAGAGAAACAGGAATTACTACCAGAGATGGCACCATTGTGGCCAAGCCTCTGATCCCCACACCAAGCTAGGGCTGCAAACAACTTGGTATTTGTTTGAAAGCCTGGTTAGACTGACTTTTAAGAATTCCTAAGGCCCTCTGGACCCAGCAAAGCGACGCTGTGCCCCATGAGGCTGTGTGATACAATGAACACAATCAGAAAGACTTGTATTCAAATCATGTATCAAACACTTACTAGCTATGTAAACCTGGGAGTCATTTAATTCTTCTAAACCTCAGTTTCCTCAACTGTAACTTTTAAGGTACCTTCCAGCTCTATGAATCTATCTATAAACCTATGATCTTATTCTAAGCACACTTACCCACATGCTCCAGCAGTTTAGTGAGCATGGGCTAATCTCAGGATAATCCAATTTCTGTCCAAGTGAATTAGGAAATGGAAATCCTAGGGGAAGAGGATGCCTGGGATCTAGAAGTTCTGGAAGGAGAGGTGATTTGTGCTGAAGACCAAAATGGGGAAGGCTAGAAATTGATTCAAGAGTTAGCTGCCAAATACTTAGCCCTAGCTCATCCCAATGGCACCAATAGCTCACACAATAATGATTCTATAAAATTGTGGTACATGAATGCAGTGGAATAACACTGCACCAAAAGATAGCTAGAAAGATAGAAAGGCAGACAGAGAGAATTTATTGAGTGCTTGCTATGTGCCAATCCTAAGAAAAGATGAATCTGAAGATAACAGAAAAACATAAGGAAACATATTAACGGATGCAGAGTGAAGTAAGCGAGGCCAGAACAATATACATGACAAGAGTGTAAACATCCACCCCAAATTAAAATTGAATGCTAATTATCAATACCAAGCATGGATCTGAAAAAGGGCTGAGAAAATGCACCTCCTTCCCTTATTTGCTGAGATGGGGAACTCCGGGCGTGGAACACCACCAGGACCACCTGGCTCAGTTGATGTGTTGATTAGTTTTGCTTAACTGCCTTCCTCTCCTTTTTTATGCTTTGTTATGAGGGTTATCTTTACAAAGGGACTCCTCTCTGGGTAGAGGGACAGAGAGGAAAATCGTGGGAAATGAAGGTAACTACAAAAACAAAAGATGTCCAAAAACTTTTTTTTAAAAAAATTCTTCAACAGCACCGGTGATTTCATGTGCCACAGTTCATAAACCTCTCACCCAGTGAGGAGGGAGTGCCAATATTGATCTTACTGAGAATGAAACTTTAGTTCTGCACTTAGCACAGTGCCTGGAACATAGTACATACTTATTTAAATGTTTATTGAATTGAAGTCCTTCTACCAAGGTCCTAGGGTGAGGAAGGGCTGAGGATGGGACTCACGCCCAGCTCTTCTGACACCAAATTCTGCATCTTCTCTGGCGTGCTTGTACGTGGGTGTGAAGTCCAGCTGAGCAGCCACCTCCCATGCTTGCTCCCAGCCTCAGATTGCTATTTCCTCCTGTTCCCGAGTTTACGGATGCAGGAAACAACCATTTCTTAAGCACTTACTACGTGCCAGATATTGTGCTATGGAGCTTAACAAATATTATCTCAATTGATCCTCACCTGGGAGGTAACTGCTATTATGATGCCCATTTTACAGTTGAGGAAACTGAGGCAAACAGAGATTTTTTTTTTTTTTTTTTAAGTGACTTGCCCAGGATCACACAGCTAACGTCTGAGGCTGCATCTGAACTCAGGTCTTCCTGACTCCAAATCCAGTATTCTATCCACTGGGCCATGTAGCTGCCACCAAGAGACCGGAATGAAATATGGCCTTAACTCCCCCTCCAGCTCCTCTTGGCATCAATCCTCCAAAAGAATGCCATCAGAACAGTTAAGAGGTCTCAGACTACACAGCCTTGGCCCCTACCAAAAGTCTAACTCAGGGTCCTGGATCATCCTTCCATCCTTCCTCTCTCTAGTCTTTAAAATACAACAGCAGGACAAGAAGGGGTATAGAGTGTTCGACGGGAGCAACCTGCAGGCGTGTGTATAATGATGTGGGCTCCCAGAGGAATACATGCCAAGTTTAGAGGCCTCTCATTTCCAAGGTTTAGTGAGGCCCCTAAGGACTGCCTGCTCGTCTAGTCCCCGGACACCCACAGCTGTGAAACTGCCCAGACAAAACATACAAGCAGTGGTAGAGGGGGAGTGTAAAGGGAACGAGCACTTATTAAGTGCCTACTACGTACCAGGCGCTGTGCCAGGTGCTTTACAAACACTATCTCCTTGGATCCTAGAGGGAAGAGATCCAGAGAGGGGTCTGAGCAAAGGAATTCTCCTGGGATTGGCAGGGAGGTCAGATCTCTCTGGTTCTCAATTTCCTCAACTACAAAATGAGATAGCTGGTCTGGATGGGCCAGAAGGCCCCTTCTGTGCTCCTCTGGCAGTGTTGGTGGGGGTAGGAAGAGCATCCCAGGACTCACCAGGATGTAGAAAGTGGTAAAGATGGGGCTGGAGGTGACGCGCATCTTGGCCCGAGCCGACGGCAGCTTCCAGAGCAGGAAGGCAAGGAACAGCACGTTGGGGATTAGCAGCGCGAGGTCCCAGTACCGCACCCTGAGCCACACGCCGAGACTCGGTTAGGGAGGCCCGGCCTATTTCCCCCACCTCTCCCCGCCTCCCGACCTAGGCCATGGCTCCCACCTGCCCCACCCCTGCCCGCTGCAGAGCCAACGCTCAGGCCCCTTTCCATGCAGGTCACCCACCAACTTAGGTTGGATCCCCCAACACACACTCAGAGCTTCTCTCATTCAGCTCAGCACAGACCCAGACTTGGCTGCACACACACACAGAAGCACACAGACTCAAGCTTGCCCTCCCCTCCCTACGCACACACAGCAAGGCCCATCCTCCCTCTACTCCTCAACCAAGATCCCGCGGAGAGAGCTAAGCTCTGGCCTCCTCCAACCCTAGACCTCCAGGAAGAGGGGCCCAACAGGTGTCCCCCCTTCTGGTGAGGTCCATCTCAGTCTGAACAACTGCAGTGGTTCAGGAAGGTGTGGCCAGTGGACAAGCCTGGCCCCTGCTACTACTCACCACCCCACATGACCGCGGGGGTAGGGCTACGCAGGATATCCCTGTCTTCCAGGGGCACGGAGACCCCCCTTCCCCACCTCTGGCCCACTCTACTCACCGGGAGGTGCCAATGTCTTCATAGAGGAGAAGTAAGCACCGGTGCGGGATGGTGATGTTGGGCAGGGAGGATGGGGCTAAGGTGGCATTGCTACTGTCCCAGTCCACCATCTTGCCTTGACTCTAGCCCTGAAGAGAGACCAAGAGGGGAGGAGATTAGCCACAGAAATGGGGGACGAAAGCTTCATCCGACACACATACTCTCTCTGTAATTCCTTTTATTACTACATTGGATCACGCCTGTCCCACTAGCGGACTCCAAGAGGGAACAAGTATTCCTTTTCACCTTAGGCGAGAGGCTCATCTGGAAAATGCCAAGCACTGAGGTGGAAGTGGGCAGGTGACGTTGAGGAGGCAACACAGTGTGGCAGAAAGCCCTGGACTTGAAGTCAGAGGGTCAGAGTTCAAATCCTGACTAACTGTACCACCTAGGAGGCCTTAGGCCAGTCACCTCCCTGGGCGGGCCACAGTTTTCTTCTTCGTAAAATGAGGTTGTTGGACTGGCCTCAAAAGCTCCTTACAGTTGTAAATCACACGATCCTGACTGAAGACAGAGGAAATGCTGGGCAGGATTGCAAAAGCAGAGAGACTGAGGAGAATGAAAGACATTTCAGGTAATGATGGGGCCCGAAAGAATGGAGGGAGCAAAGGCAAGGAGACAGGAATGAGGAGAGCGGGCTCAAGTTCAAATCCAGCCTCAGACACTTACTAGCTGTGTGACCCTGGGCAAGTCACTTAACCTTGTTTGCCTCGCTTTCCTCACCCGCAAAATGGGGATAATAATAGCACCTACCTCCCAGCATTGTGAGGATAAAATGAAATGTTTATGAAGTGCTTTGCAAACCTTAAAGTGCTGTATCAATGCTAGTTACTATTATTAAGAGGAGATGAAGAGACAGCAGGGACGGGGGACTCAAGAGAGTAAAGGGGCTGGAAGCCAGAGGAAGTATGCACTTCATACCAACAGTATGTGAGCCACAGAGAGGTCAAGGAGCATGAGAAGAGAACAATGGCCACCAGTCTGGCTGCTATGATATGAATGGTGATGAGGGAGGGCCCCCAGGAGGGCAGGGCCCTGCCCGAAGGCCTGGCAGCCTGCCCAATCAGGGGCTGTCCCCCACAGGGGCACCATCACTGCCTCATGGGAGAAGAGCTTGGCTGCTCTGCATCACGTCAGACGCAAAAACTGGCCCCATGACAGCTTAGCTTGTCCGGGTGTAGTATGGACCACAGGGAAGGCCCCAGCCTGCCCTGGACCCCTGGTTTACATTCATCTGCTCATTACAGGTTTTCTCAAATTCAACATCCACTGGGTGCTCCTTTCCTGCTCTATGAAAATGCCTGGAGATGTGAAAATGCAACCTTGACCAGGAATAACCTGTGTGGCCTTGAGGGGGAGCTGTTATGCCAAGAAAAAGACCTGATTTTCAGCTACTCTGGAACAGGTAACAACTTACATTTAGCCTGGTTAGCAAGGGAAACCAAACAAATTCATGAGAGTTATACCTTTCAAGGAACAAGGATATGCTCTCACCCAAACATTCGAGAGGAAAAAAATGGAAAAGTCAAACTTTTAAAGTCATTATTGACCCACTGGCAGATGGGACATCATTAAAAACCACCCCACTGGATCCCAGGGCAATGTGTATGAAGAATTAAAACTAGAACGGGGGGAAAGGATCCTCTCTCTTATCTCCCCCAACAAAGTCAAATAATTTTAGTAGGAAAAAAATTTCTCTAAATGGAAGGAGAGCTGAGAAAAGAAAACGAAAGGCCCCAGGCCCCCAGAATGCAATCACGCAGGGGAAAATGAGCCATAGAAAACTGCCAGAAGGGACTTTCAAGATCATCTATTCCAAACTTACAGTTTGCAAAACTCCCGGTCCAATCAGATTAAAATGCAATTGGGAAATGTTTAATAAAATAAATAAAAGATACAACAAAATGTAGATAATGTGAATTTGTGGTTCTCTAAATGTCCATGGAGTCTGCAGGGGTCAGCTTCAACACCACTGATCTAATCCAAACCCTTCATTTTATAGATGGGGAAACTGAGACCCACAGAAATGACATGACTTGCCCAAGGTCAAATAACAAGATTGTATCAGTCAAGATTAGAATCTGGATCTCCTGAAGCCCTGTCCAGGACACCAGAATACCACAAGGCCTCCCATGACTCAAAGGGAATTTGAAAAGCTCCTTGCATGAATTCCAGGTCAGGGTAAGGCTGGGGTATCTTCAAATACTCCACTTGGGAGCACTTCATGGACTCAGAAACTGATCATGGGATTTAGTCAGAGAACCAGGACTCAAGTACAGTCTTGGGTCACCTGGAGCAAGCCCTCTAACCCCCCTGGGCCTCAATTTTCTAATCAGTAAAACACACAAAAGCCAAAATGATTTCTGAGGTCTCGGCTAGTTCCAGCTCTCTAGATTTCCTCTCTTTTCCCTCAACTCCAATCTAATTCATTTATTAAGTGCCAACTTAGTACAACTAAGATTCCAGGGATAAAAGACCAAAAGGAAAACAGTTCTTGCCCTCAAGGAGCTTACATTCCAGGGGGGAGGGAAATACAAGTAGCAAACAGCTAAGTATGTCCGTAACAAATAAAGGAGGGAGAGAGCTCCTTCCACTAAGGGGCTCAGGCAAGGCCTAGAAGGAAGTGAAGGACCATTTGGAGTTGAGGAGGGAGTGCATCCAGGCACGGGACAAAGGCAGAGAGGTGGGAGATGGAGGTCAGAGGGACAGTAACATCCCCTAGGTCTAGGCAGCTGAAGCCAGACGTCAAGGCCTCGAAAAGCCAGGCGGAAGCATTTGTATTTACTCTTACACTGTGAGCAAAATAGTTGGTCAGGCTCGTGCTAGATTCCCAGACCACTGTCCACTGTCCACGTGTAAGACTGCTCTCTCTCAGGGTCTCTCGTTAAAAGGGAACCGTGTGAGAGTCTTTATCTGTCGTACTCAATAGAGACTGAGGTTCTGGGCCTTAATTCGAAAAGCCAGCGAGCTGACTGATGTTCCTCCCTCGTGGGCACAGTGAGCCATGCACTGGAGTGAGTCAGGTGACCGGCGCTGGAATCCTGCCTGGCAGCTGCTATCTCTTGGCCATATCACTCAGTGTCCCTCCTCGGTCCCGTCAGTGTCATCTGTAAAATGGGGACATGAATCCTTGTATCACCAGCCTCACAGGGTTTTGTGAACTTTTAAGGTCTATACAAAGGAGAGCTACTCTTTTCACTAAAGTCCCCTCTTTATATCTCTCATTGCCATATGTAGGTAATACTGGGTTCCAGATGCCAATGGAGGACAAGCTAGAAAACATGGACCCCTGGGGCAGAAACTGTGTGTTGTGCCTTAGGACCATGAGGCAGCTAGGTGGCACAGTGGGCAGAGCGCTGGACCTGCAATCAGGAAGACCTGAATTCAAATCTGGCCTCAGACGCTGAGCAAGTCACCACCCCTATTTGTCTCGGTGTCCCCATCTGTAAAAATGGGCATAATAATAGCACCTACCTCCTCCCAGGGCCTTTGTGATTATCAAATGATATATTTATAAAGTGCTTTGCAAACCTGAATGCACTCTATAAATGCTAGCTATTATAATTATTCTAGCTAAATTAGAGGGTGAGGGGACCAAGTAATTAATTTTTTCCGCCACACCAAACCATGAACACCGCCTGCTGAGACGCGGAGGTGTTACAATCAACATCAGTAAATGGAACATTTGCAGGGTTACAGATGCCTAAGGTATTTAAGTATCAATATCAACTCAAGGGGAAAAACATCTATCCAAGACAAATTCTGGGGCTTTTTAATTGTGTGACTCTCTACTCAACACTCAAATGCCCTTGGCCAAGTCACCTAACCCCTGTGGGCCTGGCTGTGGGCATCAGGGAGGTGGAGGAAGGTTTTTATCAGGTCTAGGGAACTCCGGCCCCAAGGTCCAAGTGCTGGGCTCCATCTCTGGCACCCTCTGCAAAGGGCTGAGGGCTGGAATCCCCACTCACACACTGGGGAGGGAGAAAGGGGACTGAGGCACAGAAGAGAAGAGGGTATAAAGCGAGGAGGGACTTTCTTCAATCACTCCCTGCTAGGCACCACAGGCCAGCATGTTCCAAGTGGCCTTTCAGAGGCAGAAGGGACCTGTTTATCTGCTGTTTATCTCTCTGGCCCAAGCCCTTCATCTTACAGATGACCAGCTGAGGCCTAGAGAGTTGTGACTTGTCCAAGGTCTCACTGACAGTAAGCAGCAGGGGCAGGATTTACTCAACAAGCATTTATTAGGTACCTACTAGATGGCACTCACGGATAAAACAAAACAAGTCCAGACTTCAAAGAGGTCCTGAGTGGAGGGAAGATGGCATGTACACATGTAAACAAATACAAAACACAGTAAACATGAAGCAATGGGGTGGGCTTAGATGGGGAGAGACATCACTCAATCAAGAAAGGCCCCCTGGAGGGGGGGACGCTTGAGCTGATCCTTAAAGGAAGCTAAGAATGCTAAGAGGCCGAGGCAAGGAGGGAGGCCACTGCAGATGGGCATGGGCGGTGGGGACAGAGGAAAGTCACTAACAGTCAAGAAGAACAATGATAACCCTGGAGCTTGTCCTAGCTTCCCACCGGCCTGCTGAATGGCCTCCCTGACCTCAGTTTCCCCTCTCCCATCTAGCATGGGAATACTGTGTACTTGAAGGGCTTCCGGGCAGAGCTGGCCTGGAGAGATCACCTGTCCGACCCCAGGTATGCCCAACCACGCCCAATAAAAGCTCAGAAATGAACTGGCTCAGGGCACAGCAGAGTCACCACGCACACCTAATTAGGCCTTCCAGTACCATCTTCCCTCTGGGGGAAAGGCTCAGCACTGACCTCCAGCAAACAACCAGGAGTCAAACCTCCGCCATCTCCAACTTTCCCCCCCCCCCCCCCCCCCCCCCCCCCCCCCCCCCCCCC